ATAAAACTGATATGTGGCCATCAATTGTAAGGATTCTCATTCCTAAATCTTCTTTAGGAAAATATGAGAACTGGTTCATAAACTAAGAGAGACATATTTTAAAGCATAATCTCCATATGTTCCATAACATCAATGTGGCCACGGAGTCATTCAAAAGAACTAGTATCAGATTTCCTTCATGATGTCTCTCTGTCTCTTCTTAGGTTTAGGCTGAAGTGCCCAAAGCTGAAATTTCCTCCTAATCCATAATAGTCAGCTCAAGGATAGGATCTTTGGCAGATGAAGTTGACCTTTGATTATTGCAATTTGATGGAATTTAACATACAGCCAGTATCAGTGATGGGATTCAATATGTAAACAACCAGTTCTCTGTATGGATGCCATTTCCGGAAGTCCATTCTGGGCCTGGGCAACAAAAAATTAGCTACCGGTTCTGCCGAAGTGGTGTGAACGGCTGAATCCTACCACTGTCCAGTATTGAGAATCACAGCTCAGTTGTTCTAGTGAAATTGTTTGGTGTATTTTTCTCACAGGGTTCATCTGAGTCAGAAACCAATGCTAACTATTTACCTCACTCCTCAATCCTCTTCCAGGATTATCTGTTGCATTTGCTGATTGAATTTCCATATTCTGGGAATTTTAGAAATTGACATTAACCATGGATTGGGTCCTGATGAATTTCATCTCAGTCTAACAATCAGAAAGTCCCCAACATAAGAACATCCAACTTATAATTTACACTTCTGAATTGGCTGCCTACTACTAAAACTAGTGGATGGCATTTTCCTTTCTTGAGCTAATGAACTGCTGAAGCCGCACAGTGTTGTCATGAATGGCTAAAGTTGCATGTTTTTAATATACAGCAAGAGACTTAGGAACAGATTTTGTTCATAACCTGGGGATTGCCTGTGTACATAATTTTGTGTTAGAGATTCTTAAGGCAGCCTATTCTGTCAGTTCTTACAGTTAATATTTTTCTCTTGCTATCTGAATAATGGCTAGTTCCCTATATAGCCATTATGTCTTGTTCTATCTACTGGAATAATTCTGAGCAACTTCTGGAAAGCAGCCTTCCAGATACGTGAAAACATATACTTTATTATGTTTCCCTTTACTTTTCCAGGTTGAACATATTCAGTAACTTCAACCATTCCTCATAGACTTTTTTTTTCTTCCCAAGCCTTATATAATCTTGGTGGTTTTCTTCTGAATACACTCATTTGCTTTTTTCCTTCCTAAAGTACACTGACCAGAACTGGATGCAATATTCTAAGTGCAGCCCATTTAATACACAGTACAGAAGAATGATGATTGAGTTCTACAGCACAGAAATGGGATATAGTCTTTTATTTATTTGTATTTATTTATATTCCACCTTTGTTATTATTAAGTCAAGGCAATGAATATCTAACAGCTGATGTATGTGAGTTGAGTATCTGTCTTTTTAGTGCTCACTGGTAATAGGTAATTCACAACAGTGAGCCATTAAGCCCTCTTTGTAAATTTTCTTTTTAGATTTAAAACTACTTTATACTTTATCTTACTGAATTATAATATCAGCTACACGTTAATCAGAATTGGTGCTGGTAAATCTTTGTCATTGGTACTTTAAAATAGAAAATCCTTTTTGTTACTCTTCAGTAGAATATATACTCCTTTAGCAGCAATCTGGATAAAACTGTCCAACTCTTGATCTAGTTCCAGCAATTGATTAATCTACAGTATATATTCTACTGCAGGGGTCTCCAACCTATGGGCTGCAGCCCAGTATCGGGCCATGGCCTGTTGGGCCACGGAAATGGCTGGCGAGTGTGCACACCCACTCACTCTAGTGCAACTGTACAGGTGCTAGCAGCCCATTTGTGCATGTGTGCAGGAGCTAGCGGCCCCACTGTGTGTGGGCCTGTTTGCGCATGCGTGCGCAGGGCACATGCACATTTTGCTCCTCCTCCCTTTCCCTCCAGGCTGGGGAGCTCTGTTCTACTGGAGAGATAGCATTCTTCTCAGAAACAAAATGTTTTGGATGGGAAAATCTGTGTTTTATTGTAAGGAAGACTGAGAATCTTCAAGCAGCCCAGTTTTATATTTTCAGGAGTATTGTGGGCATGTCTTTACTGGGATCTTCTGTATTAATTTTTTCATCTGATGCGTAGTTACCAAGCAAGAGTTAGACCACTGCAAAAGTAGGCCCTGAAATTTACTTCAACTCCATTGACTTCAAGGAGAAAAAGGCTTGCTTTTGTTCCAAGAATAATAAAAAAAAAAATCCAGAGGCAACAAATACAAATAGGTTACTAGAAGGTAAATAGTTGCTTCCTCAAGGAGTTCATTATTGTTTTTTTTTACTATGATAGCTGATCCTTGCTTCTTCTTTCACAAGCTCTTTCTTGGCTGATATTTCTGGTTACCGTAGAAAGGTAACATAGGCCGGATAATTCTAGTTGAATGTGAGTTTGTATCATAACCTCAAGTGATAAGATATAAAGTATTTATCTACAGCTTCATCTTTTGAATCCTGTCTTTTGAGAACATTGTCTTCTCTACTCCAATATATTTTAACATTTTGATACCATCTCTCAATATGAATTACCATGTTGTTTTTAAAAATTACATTGTTTTATGGAGATTTTCAAAGATTCTTGATCCCAGGGTTATGTGACCCCCTTTTGCAACCTTCTGACAAGCAAAGACAATGGGGAAACTATATTCATTTAACAACCATATTACTAATTTAACAACTTCAGTGATTCACTTAACAAAATGTCACAAAAAAAGTCACAAATGGGGCAAAACTCACTTAACAAATTTCTCACTTAACAACATAAATTTTGGGCTCAATTGTGGTCATAAATTGAGAACTACCTGTAATTAACAAATTTCTGCATGCCATAATTGCAATCAATTCATTTTCATAATTATTTTTACTTTGTTTTCCTTTTAAGGTGAAGTAGTCATTTATAAATTAAGTTTTTTTGAAGAACATTTTGAACAAATGGAGGGATACTTTGAGTATCCTATATTTAAATTATTTGTACTAATTTTATTGAGAGGGAAATAATGCTGAGATGTTGGAAATTCAGTTTCATTATAGTGAAATATGGGGTCTCTTAATAGCAATAATTATCAAGTTCACATATACTGTATATCAACTCATTGCTATTACATAGATGTTGCTGAACTAGTGCTATGTAAAATCTAATTTCATTTTAAAACATTCATGAAAAAAAATCATCCCTTGGGTTTTAAAACTTGGTACAGCAATTAAATGTTGAAGGAAAAGTAGAGAGACACTCAGCCAGTATTTTGTTGTACAAAAGTGTTTTCAGAGGCAAAAATAATCAAAATAATGTAAGCAAAGCAAACAATTCATATACTCAGCATTTTTAACATTAATATTTTCCATTTTATCTTGACTACATAAAGTATATTACAGTGGTCTGTTTTTTAAGAAAAAAGTGATATTTACATGTATTGTTTCCCATTAATTTCAAAACAAATATCTATGTCACTGCTGCTTTATGGGAATTATGCAAACTTAGAAAATACTGTCCTTATAAGTATGAAAATAGCAAGTAATATAAAATTACTGCAGCATTTATTATTTAGAAATGGAATATAAAGCATGATATGGAAGTGTGTTTAAGTAAACGAGTGGTTGAAACCACATGATATTGCTAATGAATTTAGCAGCAAATTAAGGAATACACAAATTGGAATAATGATATACATTTTGGACTTCCTATCTGTTTTTTTAAAACAACAAATTTCAGTAAAAGTATTTTCGTTTGATATGTCAGTTAAATATTATACTTTACTACAGATTTTAGCCTTCTCGCCACAGAATTCTAACTTTTGCCTCAGTGATCCTAAATGTAGTACAATATGATACGTTTTACACACTTGCAAAAAATTTTTATTACAAGTTACATAGTATGGTACGGTAACACAGTATGTAGCTTTGAGCAAGAATATGTGTTTTATCTTTTGAAAGAGGAAATGTAAAAATTAAAAGTTTGCAAGTGTTTTAGTAAAACACTCTGTTGCTGTATAGAATACTGACTCACTTTGCTTCTCAACTTTAAAATGGTATCTTAATGTTTCTTTTCCTGGTTTGATTCCTATATAACAGAATGAGTGTTACTTGGCAACCAGCAAATATATTTTAGGAATTTTTGTGGGTTGATGGAAGCCCAAGAGAATATGGGCTATATCTGAAATACACAGGTCATATGCTAAGCATCTCAGAGTTGCATATTTATAATATGCATACTTGTTGTATGTTTGATTTAGCCCAGATTTAAAGAAAAGGAAAAAAGCAGAATATAGTCTATAAACCTGAAGACATGCACCCTATGATTTGTACAGGTTTCTGGTGCATTTCTTCACAATTATTTCTAAGCTATGGAATCATGAGTGAAGTTGCAGCTGGGTTATGTGATTAAGAGAGTCATTAAAGTTTGTTAGAAGAAAATCAGGAAAACACATGTGCATGTGCAGCTTTTAACATACAGGAAAATTCACTGTTACATGAGGCAGCACATGTTTATAGCTGGGCTCCTGCTTCCTGTCTGGCGCTTTGTGATGGATTTTTAGTTTATTTTTGGACTTGGGAGAATTTAATAAATTATTGTAAGTCTTAAGGATAGAATTTTGTTAGGAATAATGGCCATGATCCTTACTGTGATTATGAATAAATGGTCATAAAAATTAGGTTGCTTATTAGGACTATGTGCAATGATCCATATTCAAAAGTTGAAATATCATTTAGAATGCATAAGGTGTTACATAGAATCTGCCAAGAATTCTTTAACTAAGTATATTTTCCTATGATCACATGTCAATTGCAGAGGGAAGCTGTGTCAAGCCAAGAAAAAGATGTAACTGTCTTAAAGTGTTCCCGACATGTAGAAAACCCAAGCCCAAACATGTTCCATTGCATGTTGACCCTATTGTATATGTATGTGATGTTATCTGTAGGATCACAATCAACATTCAGCTTAATCTATGTAGATATTTATTTTTGAAAAATGTGTCTTGGAATTAGTAAGAACGATACCGACAATTATATTTGGGATTAGATTCTAAAGTATGTTGGGATCAATTAAAGTTATGAACTTTAATTTAAAAGACTGTAAAATTTATTATGTTTAATTCCATTCCTTTCCAATATAAATATTCACGCTTTTCCAGTAGCATCAAAATGACTTTCTGAGCCTTGCACTTTCTGAAAAAGAAATTAAAAATACTAAAAATAAAATTCAGAAATACTTCCTTACAATAGTCATTGGTAGCCCTCTTGGAGTATTAGTAGAAAATGAGTTATAGAATAACAGGGGAATTTTGAAGTTGATCATAACTCATGTATCAATTGTATTTTCATAAGCAGATCTCAGATATTTTTCCATAAAACAACCAAATTATATTTTTTAATAAAACTCAATATAAAATATATAACATGAATGTAGGTTTAAATATTGAAGTAAGTGATTGTAGTACATCTGCATTATTTTTTTCACTGGAGATTTCCACCAATAAAACAGTATTTGTCACTTTATTCTGCTTTATAGTTATGAAAAAAGAACTTGTATGATTTTAGATAAACTATGTACCCAGAACTTCCCAGATACCTTATTGAAATTGGAATGGAAGTATAAAAAAAAAAGGGGGGGGGAAATCTCCAAAGAAAGCTTACAGAGTAATTTTTCTGAGATATTATTTAAATAATGGACAGTTATGTGCTTGATCCTGTCAGTGAAACTGATGGGAATTAAAGTGTCTAAAAATAACTAGTAGAGCTTTTGTTCAATTTGTGTAATTACTCTTAAACTGTTAATTGCACAACATTTTCATTCAACCTTCTCATTTGCTAATACTATTTTAGTAGAAGGATTAGGATGGTTCAGTATCTTCCTTTAATGTGCAAAGCTGTCAGGCTCTTGTGAACTCTTAAAAGGCAAAACACAATACATTATAAAATTTCTGGCACAGTGTGTCAAGAGAGTATAGTGTTTTCTTGAGACTAAATTACAAAAGTGTATTAAATTGCGGCAGCTGCCAGTGATCTGTTACTTACTGTTATGCATCTCTTCCCTTCCCTCTTTCCCTCATTCCAAATATGGTGCCAGAACATAATTTCAGCTGTTGGGTACCAACAGATTAAAAATAATATCTAAGAGAGCTTAGCGTCCTTAGCTTTGACCCTGTCAACTGCCAGTAATTAAAGGCATGCCCTGACTTTAGGTGGCTTTTGACTGCTCACCATTTAAAGTGAGCAGTAGGTTATGTGATGAAAATGACAGTAAATTAAAGGTGCCAGCATTTCACTGAGGTGCAATCACTTGGCATAATGCTACAGCACATAAAGGCAAGTATACACATAATCACATTTCAAAGATTATTCATGGTCTCAGACCATTGAAAATATTGTGCTTTCCTCAGGGTATCTATGTGCTGAAAATGGTTCTACCCACCCCAGGATCTGTGGAAAATTAAATGTACAGTGAACAATCTCAGGGGAGAAACCAAAGAATCAAAACAAAATCTGGATTCTGAAAAATAACATTTACCTGTTATTTTTAACAAAAGAATGGTGGGCAAGTAATTATACTTTTTCCTTTTGCTAACACGAATTTCTATCCTGGTTTTAAAGGTTCTTTAACATCCTACGATGGTGAAGTTCAAATAAAAAGTTGACAAGGTATGCAATTTGAATGCCTTACTCCTGAAAGTTCATTCATAGGTACAAAGGCCTTTTTTGGTACATATGGTGAGAAAAAATGCTTTCTTAATATTGTCAGAGTAACACTTGCTGACAGTCACCAAATTATTAGGATCCTTTTTTAAAAACTCCACAAGTTCATGTGGATGTAGTTTTTTTTTTTTAAATGAAGGCGATCTTAAAATTCCATATAATACGGATTTAGTTAAAGAAACCAGAGTTTCCATCTTCCATGCTTTTTTGATTCAGTTTTGGATTTTTGCTTGGGAGTTGAGGAGTAACTCTCCTGAGAATAAGGCAAAGGTGCAACCTGAGTTTCCTCAATAGGATGAAGTTTTCTCAGAACTGGCTGAAGTTTGTCTTCTTGCTGCTTAAAATCTAATTCCACACTAAATAGTGGAAGGAAAAAAAGAGAACCACAATCAGTTGCCAAGATAGAGGTTTCTGTTAAATTAACATTAAAAATGAATTTGATATGTGAAAAAAACCAGATTCTGCAATCCTCTAATACAACATACTGACAAGAAATACTGTATTGCAAAATAGTTCAAGTAACATCTGAAATATAAAACAATATTTAAATATATTAACTGTAGCACAGAACTCTTTTATCCCACTAAGATGACAAAAAGCTTTCTTAAATTAAGTCAGTCCCTTAACCCAATTAGTTGCCTACCCTGAATTGCAGCAGGTTTTCTGGATTTTGCCTGTCAATTTCCAGATCTAGACAGATCTATCACTGAGCTAAATTGTACTTCCTAGCACACTCTTGTGCTTAGTTAGGTTGCTTGCAGTGGAAGTGTGATGCTGGATTTTGGTTGTTCCTTTTCATCCAAATGGGATAAATATATTGGTGGCTGGAAACTTAAAATTTATCTCTGAGCTGCAGAAGTTATGTTTTTCCTTGTAGGTTATATTCAATATAAATTTTTGTTTATATCTTACATTAGTTCATTATTACAAACTGGTTATTCAACAACAAAATATTAAGGATCAGGATAAGGGTATAAAAGTCCCACTACAATGAGAGAGAATAAAACATACAATATTTAATCCTATACTTAGAGCCTCTGTGTATTTCTGGAACATGAAAAATTAGTTTTATCCTGATATAGCTGCAATCATTCCTCCCATTAAATTGCAGTTATCCCTTGGCTGTTATTTAATTATTTTTTATACAGTGTTTAAGAAGTAAGCTTGATAGTACCAAAGAGATAAATAAAATAATTCCAATAACCAAAGGCTATTGATTCACCCATAATTAATGTGTGAACAAGCCTATTCACATAACATAATCTGATTTTTTTGTATATTTTTATGCACTTCATAAAGTTATTGAAATAGTGACATCTTCTATTTCTGTTATCTCTGTGAGACTAGATCCTTGTTGTATGTAACCCAAACCTGAGCTCAGCTAATTATAAAGTTGAAGCTATTAAAACAGCTGTAGAACATCATGTCACTAAACATAAAATTCAAAACATAGACTGCAAGGAAAGAAACAAACTAAATCTATTACTCATTTGAAGATCAAAATTGCTATGTAAAAGTAAAGTTAAACTCATAAAATATTTATCCCAAATTATAAGCTTTTGAAATAGAAGAGTACCCTGATGACTGCTCTGCAATTAAGGGGAGAAAAGATCCAGAAGAAATTACAGCTCAGAGATCGGAATACCATTCATAAAATATGTTTCAGGTTTAATTTATAAAAACAAAGAGACCTGATTTCAAGCTGTGGCAGAAAAGTAACTAGTAATGGTAATGCATAGTGATTTAGAAAAAGATAATTTTAAAATAAATTGCTTTGGAAATATTTTTTTCATCTTAAAGTTAAATGTACTGGTTATGAAAGAAGTTTCCTCACCTGAGAGTAGATCTAGGAAAGCAAGAATAGAGGCAGAAGGCAAGGGAATAATCTGGATATTGTTCAAAACTCAGGGAAATTTTTAGTATGGTTTAACATTTTCTCACTCCAAAAATAAACCTACTAATATTCATAGAAACAATGCTTCCCTCCCCCCTTTCCTGAACCTTAACCTCCTTCCTTTTTAAATAACAACATCAAGAACAAAAAAGTTCAGAATGAACTTGGAGATCTGCTGGAGATAATAATCTAAAGTTGGACTTAGTTTCTAAGGTAAGAAACTATAGGAAAGTTTGTTTTCTCTTTCAGCTTTCTGTAAGCATCTGCACTACATTCCACACAGTTCTGGAACATCTCCCTATTTCCAGGAAGTACAGATTTATTCATGAATTTCTCTAAGTTAACCTCAATAAAAACAAACCTAGTATATTTTAAGTTTTTTTGCCCCCATATGTATCACCGTATCCTCAAAAAACATCCTTCAGCTTTTGATGATTATGTTTAGATTTTTCCACTCTCATTAGTTTAGCAGCATCTGTAAACCTAGTCAACCCAACTCCTACCCCTAAGTCAAGATCATTTACCAATACTTTAAAAAGCAACAACTCTAATACATATTCTGAGGGAGTATTTTTTTCCCTTCTCTTCATTGCAAAAGAGCTAATTTTTCCCACTCTTTGCTTTTGTTTACAAGTGTTCTTATCTATGAGTGCAAAATTTATTCAAGCCAAGCATATTCAAGAGTCTTTGTTGAAGAATCATTAAAGTTTTTTCTGAAAAACATAATGTAATGTTGACAGTCACTCCCCAAATACCCAAAGGTTAGAGGTATACAACTTGCATCTCAATAACCAGCAAACTATCCCCTCATCCTATCTTACCCATATTTAAATCCTGCATTAATCTAGCCACTCTGTGAATCTGAATTGAGCTGCCACTCACAAACGTTTATAAATTTTATTAAATTTTGGTGGGAAAAGGTGCTAGCATAATCCTAATTTTTGCACAACTGTTCTCCTACAGTGTCTCCTACATTTGAACTTTTGGGTAAAATTCATCCCATTCTGACTAAACAAAAATAATTTTTGTTTCCCTGCTATAGTATGTTACAAGGGGACAAGGCTCTTTTCCCCCTAGTTCATATCTCAGAATGGTACATAACCCGGTGGACCACTTTGGGTCACAAAGTGGATTCAGGCTGTTTGCTGAGTGAAAAACTGGCTGCAAATAGGCTGAACTGACTGTACACAGCAACTTACTGTTCATTACAAAATTAATTAAACAGACATTGCTTCAAAACTTACTGGGTTTATCTTGGAGAATTTTAAATGCAGATCCTCTCATTTTATGATCAAACACATGCCTATTCACAATATATCAGTTTTCATCTATTCTGGTGCTCTTAATATTTTTTATTTATTTAAAATTTTGGACTGAATGATTACGTTTCACAAGTTATATTTTGTTTTTAGTTGATCTCAGAATTAGGTATTAGGAGAACCATAATATTAGGATGAAATTAAAATATTAAGTAGTATGTTTTTTGAAGAAAAAAAAACAGCCAAATGATAGGTTCATTTGGTTTTTGCTAGCATCATTCAAGAACTTTAATTTTATATGTTTTAATCAATTTTTCACTGCAGAAATTAATCACAGTAGATTTCAGAAATTTTTTTTTGCTGATCCTGAAATAACCTTGAATTAGCTAGCTTACAGAGCATTGAGGTTTCCTAAATAAACTGAAAGCTGTTATGAAAGCTTTCAATGGGTATGTCATTCAAATAATTTCATGGTAATTGCTTGGATCAATGTACAAAATATTAAACTATTTTTAAGGGAGAGAGTAAAGGGTGAGTCTCTTAGGAATCATTATGGAAGGAATATATTAGTTATTTTATCAACTTACTTAAAACAACATAGGATTAATAGAACCTCTGCACACATGTAGTTGTCTCTGAATCATAACTCAATAAGGCACAAATATATGTGTACTTAAGAGTAGCTTAATACTAACAATCTAATATTTTTATACATCAATTTTATTCAGTGATAAATTTGCTTTGTATTTTATAAAATATATGGCTGATTCTGAATGGAAGATATAATTGATCTGATTTTTTATTCTAAAAGGATCTATTTGGTCTGATTGAGCAATGTACGCAAAATAATAATCCATGTAATAATCATAATCATAAAGTTTTGGAGTCTACTTTTTCTTCTCTTATTAATACATTAAAATGAATTGAATCTGTTGCATTTTTAAGGAAACAGACTGTTTGAATTTACAAGGTGAGGATCTTAATCATATTTTTCTATTATCTTCAGTGACATTAATATATTTTCATTTGACAAGCAATACAGTATTTTTTGCTATAAATTACTGGGATATATGTGTAAGAAGAAAGATTAGCAGCCATGTGACTCTGGACAGCCACTCCCTATAAATAGATGGCAGGAATCATCATTCTGCAATTGACGTTTCAGTTGAGTAGTTGTGACTTGAGGGATACCATCAAGTTCACATTTATAACACAATCTTTTAAGGATGAAAGATAGTGCCTCATTTCTTTATCATTGTTTGGAGATCATTTTTTTACCGAATTGGAAACATTAAGACACTTCAGATCGAAAAGATTTTCCCTGTATTCATTAGGTGAGATACTTTCCCCTTGGAAAAAGAGTGTGATTTTAAATGTTTTATAAAAATACTATTTTTGGGGATTAAATACCAATAGGGTATTGTTGGAAATGGTGATAATTTGAGTTTTTTTTTTTTTAAAGAGGAAATATGATAATGGGATCTGGTTTGAGACACTAGAAAGAGGTAGGAAACAATTCATCTAGTTAAGAAAATGGAACAAAAATCTTTGATGGACATTTTTGAATTTTGGTCTTCAAAATTATTTGATATAAATAGATTATGTGTCAATAAAGTCACAGAAGAACAAGCTACAATTAAGTTTGAAATTAATTTTAATGTGAATTTAAATATGTCAAAGAGAAAGATATTTTCTTCTGAATGTTCAAATAAAACTGATGGATATTCCACTGCTTAAAGGAGATATACAAACAGAAAAGTGATCCAATAACTTTTTCTTACTGGATTACAAAAGAAGTCTGTAAATTCTGAAAAAGTATGAGGTCAAAAAAATGAATAGAAAATAAACTATGGGATTATATTTGATGGGGTTAAAATTAAGTTTGTTAAACATTCAAGTGAGAAATACAGAGTTAGTTTGTTAAATCCAGCTTAAAATAATTAATTATATCTTCATTTATTCTTTATCAGCAAAATCCAGTAAGGAAATCAGAGACATTTGTTTTTGGGATTTTAGAGTTAAGAGATGAGATATGGGGTAAAGACAGTACAGTATATGTTATATAGGAAATGGTGATAAGATATTAAAATTGTTTTTACTTGTTGGATGAAAGGGAAGTTATTTTATTTTCCTTTTTACACATTTTTTCTTTATTTTTCTTTTTGTATTCTTTTTTGTAGTTGCATTAGTTTATATTCTATTT